AAAAAAAAAAAAAAAAAGGTTTATTAGCCCACAAATCATGAATAAACCTCTTCTTGTGTGATAAAAGAGAAGATCTCCACTCTCCCAATTCAAGAAACACGCACTTCACACACAGTGAGTTTGTGCAGAGACCAAAAAAACAGTGATATGTAGCTTTAATCTTAATAAAAAAGCTCAATAAGAGAGACAATTTTAGTCAGTTAATTTTTTCACACTTTTTTTTCTTTTTGAAAAAAAAAAGCTGAAATTTTGAAGCTTTTGGTGAGGAGAATGGGTGTTGTCACTGTAGCTGAACTCAAGCCAAGCATATCAGGAAAAAGGTCCTTTAAACCCACTTCAAGTGCTAAGCAAGTTACAGAATGGTAAGATATATACATATATATATATTCTTATGCCTTTTTTTAAAAAAAAAATTATGTTTTTTTAGCATTTTTATTGAGTTTTTGTGATTTTTTTCTTACAATATCTTGTGTTCTTGTTACTGAGTTGAAATTGTAAATTTTGTAATTTGGGCTATTGATTTTGGTTAGGATTTTGATTTGAATCAAACAAGAATCACACAATTCCAATTGGGGCTAAAAAAAAAATGGGTCATTTTCAGAGGAATTTTTATAATCAAGTGTGTAAGAAAAATGTGAAATTGATTGAGAAAAAATAAAATGAAATGTTGTCAACAATCAAGCAGACAGAAGTTTTCAATGATGCAGACTTAGATTTGATTGAATGAATGTCTTTAACTGCAAAACATGTGCATTTGTCTTGAAAATTTGACACAATTTCAATGTAATTTGGTGCCAATAATTCTTGATCTTTGTTGTATTCTTGAGCCTTCCAGCCAAACAGAACAAAACAAGCACAGGTTCTTTGATGTTAAACAGACATATGGTTAAAAAGTTTCAAGTTTTTTACATTGTGTTACAATGAATGGTCTTGGTCGTTTTAGCCTTTAGACTGCCCCGAAACCGTACTTTTTTCGCTGGTTGATCGTCCCGTGTTTTAGATAAGTTCGGATGAGAGTTCGTGTTTTCTTGATCGAGTAAAAGTTCTCGGCTCGAACATGTAAATGTAGGACGGAAATGCCCGAGTTCTCTTTTGTTCTTTTTTTTTTTGGATTTTTCGACTATTCGTTGATTACCATTTTTCCTTCCAATTCGTTCTTTTTGCAGGCCGATATCCGATGTCTCAAGTGATCTAACTGTCGAAGTAGGGACCGCGAGTTTCTCGCTTCACAAGGTAATAACTAATAACCAAAACAACAGTCTCGTTTCGTTTCGAACAAAAAACAAATAGTTTTTTTTTTCGAAATTCTTGATCGATTCCTGATGATCGGCAGTTCCCCCTTGTCTCGCGTAGCGGCCGAATCCGGAAGCTTTTAACCGACTCGAAAATGACGAAGCTGAACCTATCGTCCATCCCCGGCGGGCCCCACGCCTTCGAGCTCGCCGCGAAATTCAGCTACGGCTTCGGAATCGAGCTCACGGCCTCGAACCTGGCCGCCCTCCGCTGTGCGGCCCACTTTCTCGAGATGACCGACGATTTCCCGGAAAAAAATCTCGAGTCGAGAACCGAAGCATTTCTCCGAGAAATCGTCCTCCCGAGCACCCCAAATTCCATAACCGTCCTCCGAAACTGTGAAAATCTCCTCCCGACCGCCGAAGAAATCAACCTCGTCGGCCGCGTAATAAACGCAATCGCCAACAACGCGTGCAAGGAGCAGCTCGCTTCGGGCCTTTCGAAACTCGAGCACGGCTTCGGCCCAAAACCGAGCCCCCCCGAGCCGAAGCCCGAGCTTCCTCCCGATTGGTGGGGGAAGTCGCTAGCCTCGCTTGGGCTCGATTTTTTCCGGAGGGTACTCTCGGCAATCAAGACGAAAGGCCTGAAGCCGGACATAATCAGCCGAATCTTGATACATTATGCGCAGAACACGCTCGTTTTGCGAGACCAACCGAACGAGCTCGAAATGCAGAGGAAGCAGAGGTCGACAGTCGAGACGATCGTTAACCTTTTCCCAACCCAGTCGAGAAAAAGTGTCGTCCCGATGGCTTTCCTCTCGAGCCTGCTGAAATCCGCCACGTATTCATCCGCCTCGACTTCTTGCCGGTCGGATCTCGAGCGGAGGATCGGTTTACAGCTGGACCAAGCGATTCTCGAAGATATCCTGATTCCCGCCAATTCGAGTTCTCACGGCACGCTTTACGAAACGGACTCTGTTTTAAGGATTTTCTCGACTTTCCTTAACCTGGACGAGGATGAGGATGACGATGACGTGGACGAGAGCGAAATGGTTTACGATTTCGACAGCCCTGCTGCAGGCTCACCGAACCAGAGCTCCCTCGTTAAAGTCTCGAAGCTGATGGACAATTATCTTGCTGAGGTGGCGCTCGACCCGAACTTGGCTCCGTCGAAAATGATCGCCCTTGCCGAGCTGCTCCCGGACCACGCTCGGTTAATGTACGACGGGTTGTACCGTGCCATGGATATCTTTCTCAAGGTATAATTAATTAAGCCACCCATTGGTTAGGTTTTCTGGCATTTTTTTTTCGCCATCGAAAACTTTTTTTTTTTTGATAGGTTCATCCGAACATGAAAGACTCGGAAAGGTACCGACTTTGCAAGGCCATCGATTGTCAAAAGCTCTCGCAAGAGGCGTGCAGCCACGCGGCTCAAAATGAGCGCCTCCCGGTTCAAATGGCGGTGCAAGTTCTCTACTTTGAGCAGATTCGGCTGAGGAATGCAATGAATGGGGCCTCTTCCGGGCCTCATGGCCCGTTTTTCTTCTCAGGTGGTCCACATTTTGCTCACCGATCGGGAAGTGGGGTTGGGAGTGGGTGCATCTCGCCCCGTGATAACTACGCGTCCGTCAGGAGGGAGAATCGGGAGCTGAAGTTGGAGGTGGCGAGGATGAGGATGAGACTGACGGACCTGGAGAAGGATCACGTGACAATGAAGAAGGAGCTCGTGCGGGCCCACCCGGCGCATAGGTTGTTCAGGTCGTTCAGGAGGAAGCTGAGCAAGATGTTTCGGGTGAGGGGATCGAGCGAGGGCCGGTTTTTGTTTCAGAGGAGGAGGAGGCATTCGATGTCGTGAGGGAGATGAACTGATGACGATGTGTGTAGATAAAAATGGTGTGTGTGTGTCTCTTTTTTTT